AGTCCTGCGCAACTCCAAAGTGAGGCTCCGTTACTGTTTGTAAAGGGCTTTGAGAGCCTTGGGTGGAAGGCTGTAGAGAGGAGAAGAGTATCGTTCTGACAGCCTGGAAGCCACATAGTGGACTTTGAACATCCCCTCTAGGTCACAAGTGATTATTTCTGACCCACCTATTGGTTCCAGTGACAGTCCCAGCTTCTGCCGTACTGGGCTGAACCGATCCAGGTTTGCCCTCTTTTTGGGTTCAGTTAAAAGCTGTAGGTGTAGGGAAACCAGTTGTGCTAGTGCATGCATTACCGTTCTTGTCTCATTCAGAGGGTGGCCAGCCATAGCCGTGGGGTGGTGCTGAATGGACAGCTCCACTTTCCAATCACGCCTGTCCCACTAAGCTCTTTCGCCTCCTCCAACAGGCAGATTTGAGTAACTAAACGAGGCTAGGTCTACGCTGGGGTGTGATTCCCAGCCCGCATACACATACTCGGGGCAGCTCGATGAGACCTACTGCAAGTATACATAGTAGTATAGCCACGGTAGCAGCAGCAAGGCTTAGCCAAGGCGGGTTTCTGCTCGGCACAGCTAACCTGCCACTGCCCAGGCTACCACAGCTACATGCCGACTTATACAGGCGCCAGGCCTCATCAGGCTAGTACAAGTATGTGTATGCGAGCTGGGACTCACGCCCCCGAGCGCATTGTATAGGTACAGCCTTAGAGCATATTGATTTGGTACCCATATAGCAAGGAGAAAATGCCTCTAAGAACAGAGGGATTTTCACCACTTCCTCTTTCTCATCCCATTGTTTTCTCCACACTGCTTTGCTGCAAGATATTATTCCAGCAGAAGAGCTTGACTTGTGCTTTGTTTAGTAGCACAGGTCATAGCTCCTCCGATTTCCCCCCTGTGGCTCCCCCCACACACATACACACTTGCTGAGCCCTCCAGAGCTCAGAGCCTCCTGCTCCCCTCCCCCGACCGGTGCGTCTGGATTCTGTTAATTGCATCTGGTAGCTGGTGCCGGGATGGAGCTGCAGAGTCTCAAGTGCCAGGAGATGTTCACACGCCACTTTCCCAGCTCATTAGGCTGCTGGCAGCAGCTCTACTAACCAACGTCCTTTTGTCCTCTTGCTCCTTTTCATTGTCATTGACAGAAAGGGCCGATTTGCAGAAGGGAGTAGGGAAGGAAAGCTCCAAATGGAATGGGTGCAGCTGGTGCACACTGGGTCAGAACTGCTGAAAGGAAGAAGCTGTATCTTGCAAGAGTCTGAAGGGAAACCAGGAAACTGGCTGTGTGGAGACAGAGTAAAGCTTAGATAACCAAACACAAGAAAATGAGAGTTACCAGCCAGTGGAATCAGTGTGCCATGCACCAGGGCTCTCAGTTTAATTCCTCTCTATCACACGCAGCTCCTGAAGTAGATGTCAAAGTAAAAGCCTCATGGTCTGGTTTGTTTCTGTTACAGTGATAAGTTCTTTTACCATAGCCGAGTGGGTGCTCCTTTTGGGTTCGTTGGCAGCACTAAGGTATACCAGCCACACCATGGCAATACTGTGACACTGAATGGCTGCTGAAACAGTATGCCCTGGAATGGTTTGAAACCTACTTTCAATAAAATATTCAAACATGTATGTCCAAATTACACCATCGCATCTGCCAGCAAAAGTCCACAGGTCTCAGTGTCTAGCCAGACCCTTAAAATCACAAGAAACTGACCCACCTTTCCTAATCCCCATGTAAAATCCTTGCTCAGTCTGCCAGAAAGGGTGAGGTAGACTTTCTCCGAAAGGAAGAGATGGGAAAGGCCAAAGATTTAACAGTGCCTGGACCCCCTGCAATCTTAAGAGACTGACACACTTGATCCTCCTGGAAGATCCTTGCTCAATCTGCCAGAAAAAGGAGGAAAAGATCCCTGCTAAAATGCTCAGGGGAAAATTTCTTCCCAGTCCTAGTTTCTGGAGGAGCATGCTAAGCCTGCACATTAGAGCAACAAGACACTATGCCTGCATCTTCAGGGGACAGAAAATCCAAAATGTCCATGGAGAAAGATCCAAATCCTCTGCTCTCCCCAGCTACAGAGACCAAAAGGACAAGGTGTACCTTGAAAGAACAAGCTTCCTTTGCAGGAAAGGGCAAATTGAAATAAGAATTTACCCGCACATACTGTCTTTCTCCTGGTGTCACCTGCTAGCCATGTGCTGCTACAGTTGCACAGCCTGTAGGAAATAGAACAGCGCCTCAGCTCAGTGGTTCTGAGCTTACTAGTGCCCCATGAAGCACTCTTGGGTGGTTCTCAAAGCTGCCTCTGTCATAATGGGGAAGTCGCCAAGCAGGGATGCTGCTGGCTCTAGCCCAGCATAGGCGTCTCATAGGATTTCCAAAAGCTTTTTTGATTAGCTAAATTAAAACAACCACCACCTGCCCCTCTCTGCCCCTTGCATTGCTGCCGCAAGTTGGTCTTTTCTGGGGTAAACTGAAACACGATCAGCCTTGTGTTTGGTATTAGAATTGGAAGGGCTTGTAGAGTGACCAGGAGAAATCTGAGCAGTGGGGGCTGTGGGGTAGCAAAGGCAGAGCTGCAGCCAGGGAAAGGAGGTAAACAACACAAGTACAAAAGAACCACATGGCACTGAGGTGAGAGTATGTTCCTCTTATGTCCTTAGTACTGTCCTATACCTGTCACCTTTCCAAACACTTGTTGCCAGGGGGAAGATGAGGGATCAAAGTGGGAGGCTGGGAAGTGAGGTGTCCATGAAGGGACGTGGTAAACAGCGTGACAGTGTTGGAAAATGAGTGCCTTAGCTCTGCAGCTCCTCTAAAACCTCTCCCAGGCAAATCTCTTCCTACCCTACAAGGTTACACAGCTGACTCAGCAAAGTGAAGGGAACTTCGTAGTTTGTAGAGGCCTGAAGTGTACGTCAGCAGTGGCATTCCCATTAGCCCTACAGAGAGCGGCCGGTTCATCACTGCTGACTCCCTGAGGTCGTTGTGGCTCCTTTGTACCCTGCATACAAGCAAGGTGGGAGTAGCCCACTGCCGGGGAGACCAGAGGCTGGAGCATGCTGGTCCTGATGGCAGGACCCTAGGAACAGCCACTCCTGGGGAGAAGCTTTGGGCTGGGGTTTGTATAATTCTCCTTTTTGTTAATAAAATCCAACCCCAGAAGGCTGTGACTTTTTGGCTCCCAACAACTAGTGTGTTCTTTGTCTGCATCTGAGTGGGGCCTCCATCAGTCTCCATGTTCTTCCCACCACGCCCCGGATGATTTGACCATTGTATTAGCAGCGGAGTCTAGTGGGCAGGGGAGGGGCGATGAGTCGAGATTCCCAGGTTCTACCCGTAACTGTGCCACTGACTTGCTGTCAAACCTTTAGGCAAGTGCTCTATTTCAGTTTCCCCAGCTGTAAAATGGAGATAATACTTCCTCATCTGGCCATGGTGCAGTGAGGGTTAATTCACTCTAATTGGGGGAAAGGGCACGTAGAAGTATTAAGTACTGTTTGTTATATTTTGCACTGATTCATGTGGTTCACTCCAAGAGCTCATCTCTGTACAGGGGAGGAAAGGCTTAAACTCAGAAAATGTGGGTGCCGGCTGTGCTGTGCTGGGAAAGCCGACTCTCTGCAGACTCTGCATGTTTTGTTCTGATGAGGGCAGCAGCCGAGTGTGCTCCTTGCCACTGGGGACTGCTGCAGCTGCAACCTTCTGTCGCAACAATGGCCCACGCGAGCAGCAGCCCTGGGGCGGAGCCAGAAAGGATCATGTATCCCAACCTCGCGCTCAGACAATTGTGAGGAGGGAGAAACAGGCAGGTTTTACCATCATTGCAGACCAGTAGCAACCTTCGCTGAAAGAGGCGGGGGGTTCCTAGGACGATGACAGGATCCATTCTACTGCTGAGATAAAAGGCCAGAGCAGCTGCAGTAGAGATGCTGCCGCACTGGAAAGTCAGAGGTGCAGGGATCTCCACTGTGTGCCTGCCACCCTCCTGGACTCTTGGCTTCACAGTGTGCTGAATCAGCATTCTTTTGTTGTGAGTCAGTGCCTCCAGCAGGAGTCCCTTTTCCTGGGACTGTCATGACCCATGTGACAGGTGGACCTGCCGCAAAGATGGAGAGTGGCAGGATGGGGGTTCAGTGGACAACTCTTATCTTGCAAAATTTAGGGTCATTGACAATCCTGCTTATCCCAGCTACAAGGTCAGAGGCACAGTAGTACCCCTTGGTGTGGTGAGTTTGTTACCCAGTTAACCCATGGCAACCCCCTTTACATCATCAAATTACCACCCAGGCAACCCTTAGCATCACTCAGTCTCTGTCGCCCTGAGTCCAGAGCTCTGTCCCTGGGACACAGGTTTGTGTTCAGTTTCATTCACCCTGCAAGCTATAATTAAAAGCCATTTACATGCATCATGGGTCCAGTGCTCAGTAGCGCTTCGTTGACCCAAATTTACCTTGGTTCCCCACAAACCTGGCCTTATCTCTTCTTTTCATTGTAAATTACTGATTGACATCAGAAATGCAGGATCATAAAATGGAGGGACCCTCTCTACAGGCTGCAGGGTTTGCCCCACCAAGGGTCAAGTACCTTTTATAGGCACTGATCGGCGATGTTTCAGGGGTGCTTTTTAAATGTCATTTTTACTGAGTTTGGAACTGTTTAGGGGAGGTATCCGGGCAGCCTTCACTGTGTAGTTATTTATAAATGCTGAAATTCACCAGCTCCCAACCTGCTTTTCTTGCAATTGGGGGGAAGATTCCTCCTGGGTGATTCAGACCTGCAGAGATGGTAAAACACCTTTAAGGCATCTGCCTGTGTAGCTTACTGCCCCGCCAGCGGATGTGGGAGACACTTGTACAGTATCTCAGCATCTGGCTATTTGGAAAGGCCTTCAGAGAGCCCAGTAGCCACAAATGGGTCTCTGTGTATCCCTCTGCTTCCTTCCCCCTGAGAGAGACATGAGATTGCCAGTAGACCTCTCCACTCACTGCTGTTTCTTTCTTTTCAGCCTACAAGGAGAAAATGAAGGAGCTGTCCTTGCTCTCACTGATCTGCTCCTGTTTCCACACTCAGCCGCACCCCAATACCATCTACCAGTATGGAGGTAAATGACATACACGCAGAATCTCTTGTAGATCCAATCTGCAGGCAGCTTCTGTAAACCTTGGAGGACTTCAATACATTAGGCTGGGTCCCTGACTGGGGGGAGAGACCATTTTCATGTCCTGACCCAAGTTTTCTGTATTACTGGAGCATGGTATTTTGGTCCACTTCCTTAGAATAGTTTATTAACATGTGACCCACATACCCACAAAGAAACTGTATGGCTATTACCAAACAGCACCATTACATATCCTGGGATATGATTCTTGATGTTATCAGCAGTATGGCCTTTCTGTGGCTGCCATCAGCTATGCTGTACGTTTTCTATGGCTGTAAGATTAATTGCATTAGCTACACACCACACTTCTTTATGCAGTTCCTGTGAAAAGCCCCTGAATGGGCAGAGAGAAAGATGCTGCTGCTGGGTCTTTCAGATAGAATGTAAGACCAAGGTATTGACCTCCTGTGGTCACCAAAGGCCTCATGGTTCTTTTCATAAGAGCAGGGAAGTTAATTCTGGTGTCCTGGCCAAATTCCAACATGGGTAATTCCATTCTGCCTCCCCAAATTCCCCCTGCAGGTTCAGCTGAACCCCCGAATCCCCTTCACTTTCTGACCCCTACTGCCTACTGTTGCTCTGCATCGTAACATTTGACAGTGATGCTCCTACTTCTAGGCTGTACAGTGTCATTGTCCCTTTTACCAGCAATTAATGATTGACTTCAAATTCTCACCTCTCTGAAACCCTCCAGCAGAGACTCAAGTGACAATACACCCCATTTAGAAGCATAGCATCACAACCAGGTCTCACTGGGTGATCATAGCTTCAGGGCTTGATTTAGCAGCTTCTTCAAGATGCCTTTATCAAATTAGCCCTTTCATGAGTGTCCCATAGTCCATCAAGTGCTTCTGTTCTTCTCTCATAGACATGGAGGTGAAACAGCTGGACAAAAGGGCATCTGGCCAGAGCTTTGAAGTGATCCTGAAGTCCCCTTCGGACTTGTCCCCTGAGAGTCCAGTCCTCTCTTCTCCCCCTAAGAAGAAGGACCTGTCCCTGGAGGAGCTGCAGAAGAGGCTGGAGGCTGCAGAGGAGAGGAGGAAGGTAACAGGATATTCCAGGGAAATGCTAACTCATATGACCAATCATGTTTTAACCAAGCCCCCCAGGTGACCCCAATTCATAATTGGGGGCAGAAAAACTGATACAGTGCTGGGGGTGAACAACACCATTGATTTTACTTAGGAGCCATATCTTGTGATTGGTAATAGTGCTGTGTTTTACACTCTTGTTCAACCCCCAGTTGTTAGGTTTGATGTAGGAACCACTGGATGAAATTCTCTAGCCTGAGTTATGCAGGAGGTTAGAATAGATGATCACATTGGTTCCTTCTGGCCTTAAAATCTATGGATCTACGGAATCCTGTGGTCCTCTGGTTTAGATTTTCATATAGTATTATATGTGTGACCCTATGCTGCTGCAGAATGAAAATCTCTACCACTAGCTCTCTCTATAGGAGATATAAATATAAGCCACACATCCAAAAAAGCTTAGAATCAGTGCCTTTTGCACCATGTCATTGCTTTTTAACAGCTGGCAAAGCTATTTTTGCACTTCATTTATGAGCATAATTTAAAGTCTTAATGGAGAAAAATATTGGAAAATTAGAGAAACTACAAAGAGAGGGAAACCACGACACTACAACAACTTGTGGGTAAGAGCAGAAGAAGAGTCAGTTTAATGTATGGGGCAGATTTCCAGAGGAGTCGCAAATTGCACCAACAGTGTTGCTCACACAGCAAAGATAGACTTTTGGATGTTTAACATCTACCTGCCTGAAATGCAGGTGCCAATGTAGAGGTTTGAAAATGTGTTCCATGTGATCTAGAAAGGATTTGTGGGGCGGGGAGAACATGGTCACAGTATCTAAATATCATCTAGTGGACGGAGGGGGGTAGCCACATGAATGCAAGATGGTTGGAGAGAAAGCAATGGTCAAAACCTTAAGAGGGGCAGATAAGTTTAGAGTTAATATTGAGTGCAAGTCCTATAACAGAGCTGCTAGGTTTTGAACAGACACCCAAAGGAGGTGGTTGTGGCACATCCAGGAGGACATTCCAGATCAGATCAGGGAAGCATCTCTGAGACAAGGGACATGAAGAGTTCCTTTCGCACACACACACCCCCCCGATCTGTTGGCTTCCCACAGACCCAGGAGGCCCAAGTGCTGAAGCAGCTGGCGGAGAAGCGGGAGCACGAACGGGAGGTGCTGCACAAGGCCCTGGAGGAGAACAATAACTTCAGCCGGCTGGCTGAGGAGAAGCTCAACTACAAGATGGAGCTGAGCAAGGAGATCCGCGAAGCTCACCTGGCTGCCTTGAGGGAGCGACTGCGTGAGAAGGCAAGTGCTAGATTCCCATGTCCAGGCACACCTAGAGAATGGGCAGGGCCAGGACGCCTGCCTATATTATAGTGGCTACTGGTACCAAAGCCTTTGCCTAGCATCTGTAGCCTGGTCTGCTGACCTCAAACGCAGCTGGGATGATCACCACGAGAGCAGAGCTCTGGATACAATCTGCATCTTCTGCACCACCATTTCCCTAGGTTAGCTTGTGCAACTCTCCCTCCTCAAGGTGTCCAATGTGCTCTCCCCACCCCTTCCCTCTGGAGCCCTGCTCCCCCGTTTTCTTCTCTCTCTCTCTCTCTCTCGCTGCCTCATACCTTGTTGTTCTGGTTTTTGGAGGGGGGTGGGACTCTGTACTTCGCTGTGTGAAAGTGAGTACTGAGGTTTGGGCTCTTTCTTGCCACATCTGACCTCTCCTCCCTCAGAACAGGTACTAAGAGAGTTCTTCAGCAGTAGCTCAGGATGCCATGAGATGGAGGAGACGTGCACCTGAGATCAATGTAGCAGGCCCAGGATCCCTCACCTCCGGTCTAATGGCAGAGAATGTTACCTTATCTTCTGCTGGCCCTTGCTTGGGAGCCCAAAGGCAGCAGTGAACTCAGGCCTCCTCTGCTGCACTGTGGTGTGATAACTGCTCATCTCTGGGCCAGAGGTTACAACCAGTTCTGGTCTCAGTGGGGGCGGGACATCATTTGTGTGGGGCTCCTTCTATGAGACAGCTGCAGCAGGCTCTGAACACTGGTACTGAAGACCCATTCACAGAACATTCATGTGATGTGCCTGGTCTTCTGAGCCCTGCATAGGAATGGGCTAAAATTACCCTAGGTGTAAGTCTAGTGGCTTCAGTGGAATTACACCAACTATGACAATGTTCTAGTGCATTTATTTGATGGTGCCAGGCCCCTGAGGAAGAGGAGATGCACAGATGCATGCACAAAACCAGAAACTGTTAAATTGTAGATGAAACTGAGGGGAGATGGGAAACAGCCTTGGGTTTGCCCTATGCAGCCTGCAGATGCTGTAACACTTTCCATGTCTTTGCAGGAACTGCATGCAGCTGAGGTTCGCAGGAACAAGGAACAGCGGGAGGAGATCTCTGGATAAAGGGCTTTTCTACACATCTAGCACCTGGTTCCTGATAACTAACAAACCAACCAACCAACCCAACACATTTTATTTTGTTTGTCTAGATGCAACATTTGGTTCCCCATTTCCCCCCACCCTCTGGTGTTCGTTCCCCAGCTACACGCTTCTCTCTCTCTCCATCCTTAACTGTTCAGTACTTGTGGGGGATCACAGGCCATAGGTTACCTCTAAGCATAATAGCAGCTAGTTCATATGAAGTATAGAATCAGTCAATAACCAATCAATCAGCTTCTCTTTGGGATTTTGTTCTTTTTAAAAAATCTTTCTTAACCAGATGTAAAGAATTCAGATACTAATAAATTCAACCAGCAGTGTCACGGAGATATGGATTTCCTATCCGGAGCTTATACTACGCTTGGCATTTGCTCTGAGCTAGATATCAGTGTCAAGACAATGGGCAGTAAATAGTGAGAATTTCTTCCTTGTGAGGGAGTGGTTAATGGATCCATTGTTTCCCAGCAGATGGAGAAGGGGACCAGATGGCTCAAGGAATTGGTTATGTCATGCAGAGCCTTTCACCTTGGGTCACTGGTTTGAAGCCAGCCCAGGTAGGTAGTGACTTAGTCATTACTTTCTGATGGTGCTTTGGTAGCCCATGTGAAATTAGCTGGGGGTCTCAGAGCCTAGTGGACAGGTGCCCATATCACAAAAAATACCATCAACACAGGCATTAATGGCTATCTTAGCTGGCCACAGGTTGACTAAGCCTGTAGGCTGAACTACCCTCTCAGTTGTAGAGGCAGGACTGGGGCACACTGGCTAAGCAGTGTCGGGGAAGCCTGCACTGTTACTGCCTGTGTTGAACCTGATTCTATGGATAATTGGGGCAGCTCGGTTTCCAGGGCTGTCAATCTGATACTTTTCACAAACAATAACATTTCACTTCAATTAGTAAATCAGTAAACTAGAAAGTGTATGTGATTGCGAATCAGCCCACAGGCCTTTAGAGAAACTCTAATTTGGGAGAATTATTGTTCCCTCTTCCCAAAGATGGACGTGACTCTTCAATACCATTACAGGAGAGACATTTGGACCAAAGATCACAGAACGAACCAGAGAGCTCTGGCTCTCCGGCCTCACGTCGTAGCAAAGGACACGCTGATCTCTGCAATGGTATTTCCAGAAGAGCAGCTTTGGAGAAGATGGTGGGGGGGACGCTGCCAAGGAGAGGGCAGAAGGGGTTAGGAGATGTTTGTGTGCCTGCTTCTGGCGTAGTCATGGCGGTAGAAATGTAAGGTCATTGATTACAGAGATGGCTGCTGTAAAAGCAGATGATGAACCAAACTGTAAGGGGTCTGCCATTCCATCTCTGAGGTCAATAGAGTTGCAGGCACTTAACACCAGATCTGAATTTGACTTGATACATCAACTGGCGTTTTTATGTCTGGCTAACGTGCAAGAGGGCATCAGCTTAAACTCCGTGACGACGTGTTATCGGGTGTTTGTGCAGGGTTCGGCTTGCCCAAGAGCATTCCCTTGTGGGAGGGTTTTGTGGAGGAGAACATGGCAGCTCTTTTTCCTTTTGGAACATAGAGCAGCAAAGATTCCTTCCTTCCGCCTTCCAACTTTGCAGTGTACTGGTACGTTTCTTCCAGACCAGTGCAGTGTTTCCAGGGAAATGGAGCAGAAGCAGGAATATAGGCACAGATACAGGAAGGAATCATGGACTCAAATTCATCCTCCCTGTGTCACAAACTTCCCCTCTCCCAATGGCCATAATGGATTCTGTTTCAGAACCCAGGATGAACTAACAGGCCATCAAGGGGAACAGGAGGTTACTTACTAGTAACTGGTGTCCTTTGCACACATTGTCTTCAAAAAGCCACTCTATAGGTGAGGCACACTACTCCTCCGGTGCGCCTCTGCGGAGGCAATGTCACCAAGGAGAATAACTCGTGCAAACAACTGTATGCTCTGGGGCACAGTGGGTGAAAGACATGTATATACTGCTTCCTTTTACTGTACATAGAGTGGTTCCTGGCAGGCGCTGAGGGGTGCCACAAACCAGAGTTGGGATAAGCAGGGCTGGAATGTCATCTAGCACAAAGGTGGTGTCAAGACGCCAAAGCAGATAGAGGTTTCATATTTGGTATAAAGTTCCCCTTGCACCCCCTACCCCCCAACAAATATTTGCTGACTCCGTTCTGAAGGTGCAGGTTTTCCATCTCCAATGAGCTGGCAGAGTGTAAGGAATCTGCCATGCCCCAAACCAGATGGGTGGCAACTGGTCACAAAAACCCAATAGTGTGGGAAAGAAGTGGCAGCTGCTGCTGGAAATAAGGCTGCTAGCCTCTCCCTAATCTACCCGAGAATAAATTCTCCTTTTAACTAGAGAAGATCCCTCTCTGGCCACAACATGTTTATGGATATTAGGGAAAAGCTCTGCTCCAAAAGGGAAGGGCTAGCTTAGCCACAAACCCCTCGGCCAGGGTCAGAGAAAGGCCAGGACTGTTATTTGGCCCCAGTAGCATCCAGGGACAGGAAGCATGTTAGGGGCAGGGTGGGGAAAAGGAAAGGAACTGAGGGTTGAATTTCTTAACAGTAGCTAATGATCAGTTTATAAGTAGCAGTTGTCTTAGATAAGCATCTGTGTACACTGCGGAATCATCGCCAGAATCATCTCATCCATATAGTGACAATAAATTTTAAAAAGTTAATGAAGAAATAAATAAAATGTTTGTGTGTAAGAAATGGTTGAAACTGTCAAATGTCCGTGTCTCACACCGGTGGGAGCTGAGAAGGTGTCTGCAAGATATTAACCCTGTCCTACTCTCTGTAGTGCTGAGTGTTTGCTTGGTGTGTAATTCTGACCTGAGGCTTGTTGTAAATACTGTTTTTAGTACTATGACGATGATGATTATTATTATCAGAAATGTTGTACTCATGAGCACGAGATTAAAACAAACGAGAAACAACCATTTCCACTTTGATTACCCACTGGGCTCAAAAGAATTTGGAGGCAGGCCCAGGTGAGGGCAGGATGCCTGGGGCCATGGGATCCAGGCCCAGAGAGAGCAGTACATTGGAGAGGCAAGTGGCTGCACAGTACATAGCTGTTTGCTGCCTGCTGAGGTGGCTGGGCTGCTTCAGGTGGAAGGTAAATCAGGGACTCAGGAGTAGGAGGCAGACCAAGAGTCCTTCAGCCAGGGTGGGTGGGAACTGGGAGAACCCATTCCAGGAGTGGGGCAGAAGGAGGGTCAGGAGAAAAATTCTAGTAAGGGGGGGCAATGTTTCAAACACAGCCCTAAAATGGAATGGAACCGGGTCCAATTTAGTGTTAATTCAACCCCGCCTCTGGGGAGGTAGTCCAGTCTATTTCCTGTAACCATGGAACAAGACTGAGGGAATGGATGGTTGTATGTATGATGCAGAAGAAAGTGGGTAGCTGCAGACTGTGCTTTGTTGGGGGCATTCCTTCCCTTATCCTGTACAGTCACCGGGTCTAAATTTTTGCCTCTGCTTGTATCTTCCATCTCAGACTTTCATGGTGAAGCTCCCAGTTTAAGATCGCCTTCACACAGTTACAGGCCAATTTTGATCTCAGGTGAAGACTTATCCTTGCAATAGCTTGCCTGACAAACACTCAAATTGGTGATACACACAAAACCTGGCCAGAGAGGAGCCTAGGATATACAGCTTGTGCAGACAGGAGAGCTGGGAACCTCATTTTCTTCACCTTAACATCTTCAGTGCTGTGAGGTACAGTGGACATGTCAGGAAAATGCATTAGTGCAGGATAAACTGATGCATCAGGCAGAAAAACAGGGATGTGTCAGGTAGAGGTTTGCATCAGTAATGTCAGGGAAAGGTTTGTTACATCTGATGGGATATGTCATGTTAGGGAAAAATGCTTGTCTGGTGTGCCCAGGTGAATCAGGTATAATATGGAGCTGTGTCTGCCCCATGCAACTGAATGTGTCAGGGAAATGAGTTTGTCCAGTGCCACTGGCTGTATCAGGGAAATGTGTTTGATTTCTGTGCCTCTGGAATGGAATTCCTGTTGCTTGGAGGGCCATCCCAGTAACATTGCAGATGAAACGTTTGCATGGTCCAGACTGCAGCGGAGAGGTTAATGACAGGTGCAAGACACATGCCTGAACTAACACTGTGCCTGACAGCATCAGACATCGCTTTGATCTTCAGTTCACAAATCCATATCAGCTCACAATTTCATTCCTGCTGAGTTCCCAGAATTGCTAACAAGTAGTTTGTGCCTGAATAGGGGTTTCTTACCCCCCATTAACTCCCTTATATTTCCATCACACTTCATTTTTCTTGTGGCTCTTCAGCCATTCCCTCATGTTGCCATCTTCAGGTGTATTCCATGGCATGCAATTTACAAATTCCTGGGGCACCATTTCTTATGACTGGGCTCAAGCTCCTTCTGTGGCCTTCTAGGGTATATCTACTTGGCAATAAAATACCCGCGGCTGTCCTATATCAGCTGACTTGGGCTCAGGCTGTAACGCTATAAAATCTTAGTGTAGCCATTCGGCCTTGGGCTGGAGCCCAGGCTCTGGGACCTTCCCTCCTCGCAGGGTCCCAGAACCCACATGTCAGTTCAAGCCTGAACGTCTACACTCGTTTTATAGCCCCAGAGCCTGAGCCCAGGAGGCAAAGTCAGCTGACACAGGCCAACTGCATGTGTTTTATTGCAGTGCAGCCATACCCTTAGACACTCATTGATGGGAATTTCTAACTAGACTTGCTGTTAGTGGCCACTTGTAAGAGCGTATCTACTTGCGTAACAGCTTATCTACTTTGGGCCACATTCTCTTTAGGTGTCACTTCGCTGAAGTCAATATTTACACCAGCAGAGAACTTAGCCTAGTGTATATTCCAGGTGTAACAGAAAGAACTGTGGTGGCAAAAGACCACCAGTGTGTATACACATTTCAAATTCCTCGCTCCCTCCCTGTTCTCTTGGGCAAATTAAGGACTCCTACCCTGTGCAGGAAAAGGAAGATGAACCTGAAGATAAATTATTTCCCAGGGTCACAAGCATCTTGGTGATTAGCAATTCTGGGGTAAGAACTAGAACAGTCTGGCTCATGTTCCAAATATTAGACCTTCCGTTTGCTTTATTTAGATTAAGTGTTCGGATTTGGCTTTAAAGGGATTCTCTCAATGCTGTATGGCCCATAAACTGACAATGGAGTGCTACTCGTTCATGGCTATTTTGGAAGTTCTCACTCCATGCTTTTGTTGTGTTGTCAAACAAACCTTGCTGCAGTCAGAGTGTGGGAGTTACCCCAAATGCTAGCCTTTTAGTGCCACTGGCAATTCAGACAATTGCATGCATGTTACAATAGGGATCAAAGCTGTGACACTGCTCCTGTAAAAATGTACATTTCAGGTTTTTTCTCTTGCAAGGACCAGTGAGACTCTCTACCCCTGGTTCTGTTTAACTTTGTCGTCTCACGTAATTTGTTTCATTCCATTAAGCAGCATTACTGTCTTTGCGCACTTGCAGTGGTGACGTGCGTGTATTCACATACGGTGTGCACGCACAGACATGCGCATGTGTATACACTCTATATGCATACGCCCACATATCACCATATCAAACTTGAAACAAGAGTCAGGGAATGGCTGTTTATGGTGCTATAGAGACTTATTGCGAACCATGCGAGGGATGACATGACAAATTAGGACCAATAAACTCCATCTCTGTACAGGTGTCTAAGTAATGTAGATAAGGGGCACAGACCAACATTTAGGTTTCTATAATCCAGAGCCTACTGGGGGATGAGGGGATAACCGACTTCATTGGAAGCTGGAGGGATGTGTTATCTGAACACAGGAATTGCAGCCAGGAATGCCTGACTTCTTATCCTGGCTGCCTTGGGCAAGTCATTTGGGGTAAGTCTACACTGCAAAAAAAAAAAAAAAAAAAAAAAAAAAAAAAGCCTGCAGTAGCAGGCTCAGAGCTCGGATCAACTGACTTGGGCCAGCGCTACAGGGCTAAAAATAAAGTAGACATTCCTGCTCAGTCTGAAAACCCACCCCCCTTGCTGGGTTTCAGAGCCTGAGCCCCTGCCCAAGCAGGCATGTCTGCAGTGCTACTTTTCGCCCCATAAGCCCACATCAATTGACCCCGGGCGCCAAGGCTTGCTGCCGCAGATTTTCTTGCAGTGTAGAGATGCTCTCCACCTCTCTGTCTCTCTCAGTTCCCTCATCTGTAACATGGGGATAATAATACTTCCCTACCTCACAGGGGTGTTGAGAGGATTAACAAGTTAATGTCTGCACAGCACTTTGAAGATGGAAAGCACCCTGCAAGTGCTGAGTATTATTACTATTACATCATCAGCCACCTCCCTGGAAAGACAAAAATTAAACAACGGGCCCATTCAGTTCCCCAGGGCTGCCCTCTTGTTCTCTCTGGAGCCAGTTTGGGTTTGAATGTCATTGGCCTTGTGCAGGATTCACTCCTCATGACCCAGTGCGTGCTAGCTTTGTTCTTCCCAAATAGACAGCTCAATAAGATACTGTAAATGGTGTTATGAACAGACTTTCCATCACTGTAACGGAGCCTTGTCTGGTTCCTTTAGGTCTACCACGTGCATTTAATTGTCAACTTGAGGTTGTTGTTGTGCAAAAGAAGTGATTATGAAAAACTAAAAGAAATAAACTTGGTATGAAACCACACGCCTCCATTTCTCTTAATACACCCAATTTGTTTTAATCTTCCAAGGCTTCTGTTCTTGTTGGGAAAATAACTTGGCAGAATATAAAACTGGCTCAAAGAAAGTATGGAATCTAGGTTTTTGTTGAACTAAATAGTAATTATTGCCCATCCTTAAAGACATCTCAGAGATCTGTAATTTAACTACATTTCTCCAGGAAAAAAAACTAACGAAACACTTCAATGCAGATAACACCATTATTTTCCCTTATCCTTGGGGAAATGAAGAGTTCAAAGCCCTTTCATGAGGAGAGAGGGATCAAAGACTCAGCAGTCAGTTGTCCAAAAAAGGGTTAACATTCTGGGAAACCTACAAACATCTTTTAGCGCTGGCCCTTACTCAGCTCAGCAGAAGTAGCTTTTACCTTAAAAAAAAAATTTTTTTTTTTTTTTTTTAAATGCAACCTCATTCCAAAACATTGCACTTTATATTTGCTCAAATCTCCTTGCAAAGACACCTCCATCCTGGGCTACAAGGGAAGGCCTCATGTCACTAGGCGCCTATTAATTTCAACAGTATTTGAAGGTCAATGTCTTACAAGGACAGGCTCTAATAAAACATCCAGGAAGCCCAGTAAACCAGGTCCTGAACCCGAAGTCACAGGCAATGGAATATACACGGTCATGGGTGGGGGATACGAGGGGCAATACTGGTCTTTTAAACCTAGTGAGTTACCTGCACTTAAGACCATATGCAGGGAAGGGCATGGAGGACATCTAGAGAGAAGAAATAGGAGCTGCAGCTGAGATTTTTCAAAGTGGCCCAGGGGATTTCTCCATTTAAATGGAAGATGTTTGGCTAAATTCCCTGTATGCTCTGGACATTTCACCTCACATCCATTTTTGCTTTCATTGGATGAGATTTTGGCTACTTTGGCAAATGGCCAATGTCACAATTCTACCCCTTTGTATGGAATCATCTATAAAAATGGATAGCCATCTAGACTGCAAAAGCTTTTAATGATCCTATCAAAAATAGCACAACTGTGGCAGAATTCAAGTGACATAATTTGGTAGATGAGAAACTGAAATGAGAGGAAGACATGGGGTGGTGATGTTATAAGAAAGAAGGGACTCCATTTCCTAATGGAGAAGTCTTCCATGGGACCAATTTAGGAAGGACAATGAAAATAGCCATGAACCAATTACTGTGTCAACATTTATGCACCAAGAGCCTGAGGCCTGAAGAGCCTGAGGCCAAAGGACATCCTCTGCATGTGCGCACGAAGCCTGCAGAAGGTGGAATTCTACCTTTACAGCACAATCCTCCTGTTTTTGAAAATAATCTATGTCCTTACTGGGGGGATAGCGCTGCCTCCGTTTTTCTACATGCTCCACAATATACTACTGATCCTGCCCCAGGAATTCTTATAAAAAAAAAATCACAGGAAGTTAAAACTAGATCCCATCCCCAGGAGCATAGGCATGGCACTTAGACATCACAAAAGACAGTTAGTCTAGATATGCATAAAGAAAACTAAGTAACCCCATTCTCCTTGGTTTCTCCTACAGCTGGTCACGGAGGGCCAGATTCTTCCTTGCGTCATCCTCACAGCCCCATGAAGCCTTTCCCGTTCAGTCAGGCACATCTGCCCCGTTCCCACGTGTCCCTGCACCCCCCGTCCCCATGTATCCCTGAACCCTCCTCCCCCTGTCCCCATGTGGCCTTGCAGCCCCTCTCCCATTCAGCTGCTGGCTCACTGCTGTCACCCCACTAGCCCCCGCCCCAGTCTGTCCCCACCACTTACCCTTCTGAACCGCAGTCTGTGACCCCCCCAGCAGCCCTGTGTGCCCCACTGTCTCTCCCCCTCCCCAATATCCCCATCCCTCCTAACCTGGCTCCACGGGCAGGGTGCCGTGATGAACGCAGTCAGCTGCTGACTGTTACTGCTGGTCAGCTGCAACTGTCTGTTCCAGTGCACAGTGACCTCTGGTGGGCAAAAGGGAGAACTGCAGCACTTAGGCAGCATGCATTTTCTGTGCAGAAAAAAATTCCACACTGGATATTAATTCTGCGGGTGTGCAGTGGTGCAGAATTCCCCCAGCAGTATACCATCTCAGGCTCAGTAGGAGACTCCATCCCATCCTAGTGAACACTGACCTGGCCTCAGTAACTCATGCCTTAGTCACCTCCTGGATGGACTAAAACAGTGCAATACACCTGTGCATGAAGTCATCAGCCCTTAGGAAACCCCAACACATAAAGAAAGCTGCAGCGTCTTCCCTCAACAACACAGGCTACAGTGATCACATCAAACCTGTTCTCTACACTACCTCCCCTAAGAGCCCTAGTCAGATGTCATTAATGTGATCAGCTGGCCAGTATTTAACCAGCCTGGCCATTTTTTTATGGATTTGCCAGTTGCCATAAAAATAATTTAATCTGCCAGGTTTTTTTTTTTTTACATGGGTCTAAAGATTTGCATTATTCTCAGAATACACTGGAATATCTAATATTAAAAGTTTCTATGTCCAGCTAAAGATGCTGCAGTGTTCCCACTTCCACAGTTTAAGCGATAACAGACCAAAATGGTGAGCAGACAGCTGCTGTATTTTCAACAAACATGCAAGCGCACTGCATGCGTGTGAGAGAGGGTTTGAGACACTATTAGCGGCTATTGAAGGGGGACATTGCGGAGTTACCTTGTGGTGGGGGTTGCGGTGGGCTTGCCTTGTGGTGGTTTTTGGGGATTTTTTTGCGCATTTCAAAGGTGATAACACTACACCTGACCTGCTCTTCAAGAGACTGGATGCCAGGATACCTAACTGATTGCCTGATGCTCAGGTACTGATGACAGCACCACTTCTCAGGAGTCAGGCCAGGCATGAGGGAGCTGTCGTTCACATGGATAAAGCTCATCTGTGCTGTCGAGAGAACTTTCTCAGGGGCCAATCACAGGTCGTGGAACAAACGTCACAAGAACCATCTTAGGCATCATCACTTTCTGTTCCAAGTGCAAGATGCACTTTTTTTTTTTAAACCTTGCCTTCAATATAGACACATGTAGCAGAGCAGACAACCAAACAAAACAAACAAAAATCATCAGAAAGAAAAAGAGAAAAGGAAGGAAAAACCACACGTGACAAACAGTGACTTTGCTTGATGCACTGCTGGAAAGTGCTTCAGATACTATGCCGAAAAGGGATAGTATCTGAAGTATAAGAACCTGAATTAAATGTAATTTAAATTGTATTGGACTAGTGAGGTTTGTGTATTATTTTAACTATCAGTGCAGCACTATGAGTGCATTAGCAGGGATGCTTTATACTAAAAAAAAATATATATATATTACACCACCACCAGGAACTAGATGCCCACTAATTCTCCCTCATTGCAAGCTCTAGTGGTAAGGCCCAAGTGTGAGGCCGTTTGGGGCATTTTAACATTACATCTGCACGAGCACCGTGTTTCAAGCCCCACCAGCCCTAAACAGAATGCATGCACAGGTGCAATGCATGGAGAGCGGCCAAGCTGAAGGCAAGCACAAAGGAAATGCACGTGCCCATACAAGAACGCTTGCACAAATCGAACCCAGGCAGATTAGCACTTAAAGGCCAGGGCCATATAAGCGCCATATACACGCTTAATACGAACGGGAAGGGCCAGCACACAACCAGAACGTGCACCAGCCACCAACGGAGGTAGGGACCCCCACGCACGGAATGCAGGCCCAATGCCCAGAGCAAAACGCCCAACGCCCATTGCCCCGGCAGCATGCACAGGCAGGTGGCCCAATGCACGAGCCCGCCGCAGCAGCAGCTGCTGCAGGAGCAGAGAGGCGGGCGGGCGGGCGCGCGCGCTCCCCCGCTGCGCACAGAGAGGGCAGAGCGGGAGGCGCGCGGACGGGGCCCGCTCCCCCTGCGGCGCGCGCCAGCTCCCCAGCCCAGCAGCCAGCTCCCCAGCCGTCCTGTCGCGCAGGCGCGCTAGGCCAGGCCGGCACCTATTTCACAGCCCGGCCGGCTCCGCCGCCCCCGCTAAATAAGTCCCAGCAGCGCTGCCTTGCCCCCGCGTGCGCCTGCGCGGGGCAGAGCGGCGCGCGCCGGAGCCCGGCTCCCCCCTTCTCCCACCCGCCGCCTAACAAGGAGCCGGAGCCTGCGCGGGGCAGCGGGAGCCCGAGCCTGAGGTAAGAGCCGGGCCCGGCGCCGCCGCTGGGCCTCCGCACGCACCGTCCGGCCAGCGGGTCCCTGCGGAGCGTCAGGACGTTACGGCAGCGGCAGGGAGACGGCGGCAGCGCCCGGCCGCCCGCCCCGCTCTCCCCCCCCCCGCCCGGCGCAGCCAGCGTGAGCGCGCCCCCGCCCCCCCGTCCGGCGTTGCCAGCGTGAGCGCGCCCCCGCCTCAACCTTTCCCTTCCCCTCCCCCTCCCCGCCCGCGCTGGGACTGCGGGGGCCCCAGCGCGCGGGAGGGGAAGAAGCGGGCGCTGCCTGCGGCGTGGGCGGGAGGAGGCTTCCTCGCAGCTCGCGCGGGGCTTGCACGCGCCGCCTGTGGAAATGCCCCCCGTGGGGCAGCGCGCGGCGTCCGTCCGGCTCCCCGGGCATTGCCTGCAGCCGAGCAGCGCGCGCGCGCCTCCGCGTGCACCGAACCCCTGGCGTGGCGTGGAGCGTCTGCACCCCCCCCCCCCCCGCCCCCAGACGGGCGGGGCCCCGCCCGCCCCCCCCCCCCCCCCGCTCCCCCCCCCCCCCCGCCCCGGGGATTGAATGCGGCGCCTGCCCCACCCTGCTGCTAGCCGTGCACCCCCCTCCCCGGGCACGGAACGGATTGTCCGCCCCCCCTTGCGTCCCTTTGTGCTTCTGCTCCCCCTAGGCATTGCACGCAGGGTTAGTACCGTCTGCGAGCAGTGCAGGCACTCGCCGCGCCCACACCTTGCCAGCAGACCCGCCTCTGAATAGTGCCTGCAGTATGTACACCCTTTTCCTCTGGGCATTGCCTACACAATGTTCATATCCCCCCCCCTCCCTTCCCTTACTATACACCCCTTCTGGGTGTTGCATCTAGTGTCTTCTGACACTATCATACACCACCCTCTCTAGGTGGTATGTACAATATTTGCACCCTACCCCCGTTTAAATTCTCTCCTCCTCAGGGCATTCTATGAAATGCACCCCATAACCTTTCATTGCAACCGGCCCCTGTTACTTTGCATGCATTGTGCCATCATTCCAATTGCAAACACGCCCTTGAGCACGGTGTAGAGTGTGTAGGTAAGATGTGCACCACCTTGTAGTCAAAAATACCTCAGACATTCTGTGGAAGCCCTTTTCTCTCACACACCTGCTAGCATTATTGTAGTCTCCATACCCGTATACCTCTCAAGGTCCAAGATCTCCCTTGCCATTGTATGCAATATGTTCACCTTGTGCAGTTTGTGCCCTCCCCCTCCCTGCCTTAAGCTCAAGTACCCCCCCAAAAACAGGGTTACTGGCAGCTCCCTGAGTTCTCTGTTATACAGTTGACCTAGTATCTGAGGCAAGTCCTCCTGGTTACTGTGACGCTCTGGTGTTGAACACTGCCATGACATGGAATATCTGTGGTATCATGAAAAGCACAGATACATAATTAAATATTAAAATTAATTTGTTGATTCTGTAATAATTACATTAATCTAAAATTTAGTGTTTCAATTTGTTTCCAAGCATTTTATGTTGCTGTGTACCTTCTGATTTGATGCAGAACTCAGGGCTGGATACTCTTCAGAAATGGGTTGTGGATGGAACCCGTTAGCAGTTCCAAAATAAGCAGTTTTATGCCTGTTTCCAGAGCATGTTTGGGGATGGGAGGGGAGGTTTCTACCTCTCCTTCTGGCTGTTTGAAGTCAGGTCCAAGGAATTTTAATCTTTCCGCGTATCCGGGTTTCTTAAAACATAGCGTCTCTTCTTTCTCCCTCTTTTCATCCATGTGGTCAGGCAGACAGCTGTGGTGATAGTGGATTTAACTAGGGCTGTCAAGCAATTAAAAAAATTAATCGCATGATTAATCGCGCTGTTAAACAATAATAGAATGCTATTTATAGAAATATTTTGGGATGTTTTGCACATTTTCAAATATATTGATTTCAATTACAACACAGAATACAAAGTATACAGTGCTCACTTTATATTTATTTTTTATTGTAAGTATTTGCACTGTAAAAATAAAATAAATAGTATTTTTCAATTCACTTAATACAAGTACTGTAGTGCAATCTCTTTATCATGAGCGTTAAACTTACAAATGTAGAATTGTATACAAAAGATAACTGCACTCAAAAACAAAACATGGTAAAACTTTAGAGCCTACAAGTCCACTCAGTCCTACTTCTTGTTCAGCCAATCGCTCAGACAAACAAGTTTGTTTACATTTGCAGGAGATAATGCTGCCCACTTCTTGTTTACAATCTCACATGAAAGTGAGAACAGGTGTTCACGTGGCACTGTTGTAGCCGGCGTTGCGAGATATTTATGTACCAGATGCGCTGAGGATTCATATGTCCCTTCATGCTTCAACCACCATTCCAGCGGACATGCATCCATGCTGAGGATGGGTTCTGCTCGATAACGATCCAATGCAATGCAGACCAACGCATATTCATTTTCATCATCTGAGTCAGACGCCACCAGCAGAAGGTTGATTTTCTTTTTTGGGGCTTAGGTTCTGTAGTTTCCGCATTGGAGTGTTCCTCTTTTAAGGCTTCTGAAAGCATGTTCCATACCCTGTCCCGATCATATTTTGGAAGGCACTTCAGGTTCTTAAATCTTGGGTTGAGTGCTGTAGGTATCTTTAGAAATCTCACATTGATACCTTCTTTGTGTTTTGTCAGATCTGCAGTGAACGTGTTCTTAAAACGAACAAGATGCTGGGTCATCATCCGAGACTGCTATAACATGAACTATATGTCAGAATGCGGGTAAAACACAGAGCAGGAGACATACAATTCTCCCCCAAGCTGTTGAGTAACAAATTTAATTAACGGATTATTTTTGTAATGAGCGTCATCAGCATGGAAGCATGTCCTCTGGAATGGTGGCCAAAACATAAAGGGGCATACGAATGTTTAGCAGATCTGGCCTTTAAATACCTTGCAATGCCAGCTACAACAGTGCCATGCAAACATTTGTTCTCACTTTCAGGTGACATTGTAAATAAGAAGCGGGGAGCATTATCTCCAATAAACGTAAACAAACTTGTTTCTCTTAGTGATTGGCTGAACAAGAAGTAGGACTGAGTAGACTTGTAGGCTCTAAAGTTTTAATGTTTTGTTTTTGAGTGCAGGTATGTAACAAAAAAAATCTACATTTGTGAGTTATGCTTTCACGATAAAGAGATTGCGCTATGGTATTTGTATGAGGTGAATTGAAAAATACAATTTATCATTTTTACAGTGCAAATATTTGTAATAAAAATAATATAAAGTGAGTACTGTACATTTTGTATTCTGTGTTGAAATTAATGAGGAGTCCGGTGGCACCTTAAAGACTAACAGATTTATTAGGGCATAAGCGTCTAACCTGTTGCTGCCTAAAGTTTAAATGTTGTTTCTCTTAGCCTTCCATCTGCTTTGCCCTCTCACCAAATGTGTGTGTATATTTTAAACAATAAACAACCTTCCCTCACCCCCGATCATATAAAACCCTTGTTACTTCAGATGTGCAGTTAGTCTGGCATTCTGGCAGGAGTCATGTGGGGTGGAAGCAGAGAACTTTGCATGCCATTAATTGCACTAGAAACATTACCGTAAATTTTAAGTGGATGAAATAGAGACTTTCTTTCAGGAAAATTGCATGATTATTTCATCATGGTCCATGTTGTAGTTATTGGCACAAAATATGCCTTTCATTTGTTATAAAAAAAAAAAATAGAAGCTGCATTGTGTTTGAATTTTTGTTACCGTCCTTGTAGAAATTTGCTGAGGTCTCAAGAGGAAATTAATTTTGTTGTCTCTCATCCTGTTTCCTAACTGTTCACATCTTAAAAACACCATATAAGTTGGCATGATTGGCAGTCTTCACTCAGAAAATACCTTGTGATGGAACAACAGTCTGTTGCTGATAAGACTGGAGGTACACAGAAAGCGAAAGAGAGCACTCTCCTAGCAACTCCTTGTATTCTTTTGGCTCAAGCTGTTGCTGTGAGAACCTAGTTTTCATGAATGCTTAATTTAATCACCAAAATCTTGGGGGGGAGAGCACTTATTTAAGGTTGAAAAAGTGGGGCATGTTTAGTTTAGAAAAGAGAAGAATGACGGGGGACATAAGTCTTGAAATATGTGAAAGGTTGTCATAGATCGGATGGTGATCAGTTGTTCTCCATGTCCATTGAGGGAAGGGCAAGAAGTAATCAGCTGAGTTTGCAGCAAGAGAAACTTAGATTAGATATTAGGAAAAACTTTCCAGCTATAAGGATGGTTAATCACTGGACCAGGTTACCTAGACAAGTTGCAGAATCCCTGTCATTTTGAGGTTTTTAAAAACAAGTTAGACAGACACCTGTCGGGAATAGTCTAGGCATACTTAAGCCAGCCTGAGTGTTGCAGGATGGATTAGATGACTTTTTGAGGTCCCTTCCAACCCTACATTTCTATGATTATAACACAGAGGTGGGCAAACTACGGCCCGCGGGACCATCCTGCCTGGCCCCTGAGCACCTGGCCAGGGAGGGTAGCCCCAGCCTCATCCCGCTGTCCCCCCTCCCCCGCAGCCACGCCGCCGCGTGAGCAGTGCTCTGGGCGGCGGGGCTGCGTGCTCCTGCCAGGCAGCGCGGTGGCGTGTCTGGCTCTGGCCGGGCAGTGCAGCAGCCAGACTTGCTGCTCTGAGCAGCATGGTAAGGGGGCCGGGGGGTTGGATAAGGGGTGGGAAGTCAGGGGACAGGGAGCAGGGGGCGGTTGGATGGGGCAGAGGTTCTGGGGGTGGTCAGGGGACGGGGTGTGTGTGTGTGTGGGGGGGGTGTTGGATAAGCATGGGAGTCTCAGGGGGCTGGGGTGAGGATAGGGGTCAGGGGACAGGGAACAGGGTAGGATGGATAGGCGTGGGGTCCTGGGGGGCCTGTCAGGGGGCGGGGGTGTGGATAGGGGGCAGGGCAGTCGGGACTGGGAGCAGGGGGGTTGGATAGGGGGTGGGGCGATTGGGAACAAGGAGCGAGGGGGGTTGGATG